GTTTAAATTTTAGCTACTATTCAGTGTCATGTTTAAATTTTAGCTACTAGTCAGGGTCATGTTTACATTTTAGCTACTAGTCAGGGTCAGATGTAAATTTTAGCTACTAGTCAGTGTCATGTTTAAATTTTAGCTACTAGTCAGGGTCAGATGTAAATTTTAGCTACTAGTCAGGGTCATGTTTAAATTTTAGCTACTAGTCAGGGTCAGATCTAAATGTTAGCTACTAGTCAGGGTCAGATCTAAATTTTAGCTACTAGTCAGGGTCATGTTTAAATTTTAGCTACTACTCAGTGTCATGTTTAAATTTTAGCTGGTACTCAGTGTCATGTTCAGGGTCAGCTCTGTTTCTTCCTGCAGCAGCAGTCTTTTGCAGCAGGTGTGCTTCTTAATGAAGTACACTGTTCCTGAGGTAAATGTAGCAACACGTTGGTAATAAATGTATTTAATATAACAGTTAGAGGCTGGTATCACAGTCTGATGACAGTTACCCACAGGGCCACCTCACTGGTTAAATATGAGGAGTAATAGCCTCCTTCCACTGAAGGCTGCTGGGACAAAGACAGTGCAGTTTAGCACTTCTGCAGACGAGAGCACCTCCAGTTTATGAGCAGAGCTGTTTTTCAGAGAAAGGGCAGCAGAAATTACTGAGGTTGCAGTAAACACTGCAGTTTTAACTCTTTGATCACATTTGGTTTATTCTGGATATGCATGAGCTGTTCTGTTTTAAACATAATCTATGAATGTTTTATTTGTACTTCAAGGTTTATATTTTTACTGCAAATATGTTAAACACTTCCTGTAATTTATAAAAAATGTATACTAGTTAAAAGGACTTTCCATCCACCAGCTTTGAAGATAATTTCATTGTTTCTGCAGCATTTTTCTCACTTCTTTCTCTCTCTTCTGTTATTATATTGGACTGTGTTTTTGTTCTGCTCTCAGGCTATCTGTGCAATTAGAGATGGGTTGCTGGATCCCCTGGTGCGCACAGGACATAAACTCTCTCTCCATCAGAGAGCTCTTAGGATGAAAGAGGCTGCCAGCTGCAAAAAGTACCGCTCACAGCTCAGAGACCTGCCCAGCCTTCAAGTCCACGATGTCAAACATGTCAGTTTTTCACAATGTCAGCATAAAAGGAAATGTACGGAAGAGGGTTAGAGCCACAGAGCAAAACAGTTTTTACCCGAGTTCTGACTTTAATTTGACTATCCTTCAGAGGTTTGGGCTTAATCTCGGATTTCTGAGAAAAAAAAAACAGAATTCTGACTTTTATTTGAGAATTTTGAGAAAAGAATGTGAGAATTTAAAAAAATCTGTTCCATCGCTCTAATCCTCCGTAGAAATGAATCTGTAATCAATGTTTTTTTTGGTTGTAACTGTGCTCGCAGGTGACCATTCGAGGCCAGCTGTTTCCTCACGAGGGCGGCACGGGGAAATCCAGATTTCTCTTGCCAACAACCGAAGAGGGGGACGACTGTGCTCGTGCTACTGTAATCTGCTCTGTGGAAGAGCTTTGTTTGGCACATTACAGAAGACAAGGGTTTGACCAAGGTAAGCAAAATTTGACCTCCTGCTGCAGACTGTGGAGACCCACCGACAGGTAAAAGTTAAAACAGCATGTCTTCTGTGTGACAGGGATCCACGGAGAAGGATCAACGTTCTCAACCCTGTTTGCTCTTCTGATGTGGGACATCATTTTCCTGCACGGTATCCCAGATGTCTTCCGGAATCCGTACCAGGTAAAGTAGGCTGTAATCGCTTTTGTTTAATATGCGTGGGCCTACAAAGGTTTACCTCTCTGGTTCTCTTGGCACAGACCTGTCCTCTGGATCTTTACACCGACTGTTTCTACGAGAACAGAAAGGAGGCGATAGCATCTCGTGTCCAGTTACTCTGTGAAGCCTCGGTGGAAACGCTGTGCGGCATGATGGAAGACGTCTGGAGTTCCCAGGAGGGTAAAGTGTGCTCACTGGTCAGCTGGGAACGTTTCTCATCCCTGCGACAGGCGCAGGTATTCATAAACCTGGATCTTCACTGTAATCGAACGGTCTAATGCAAAATATGTCACGTATGTCTCAATACTCGTATATTTTACCACAACACCACATATTCTGTTGGCAGTCTCTTGTCGCATGCCTTGGAGGTGCCTTCCTAAGTGGAATAGTGGACCGAATGGCAAAAGACTACAGACACTGCCGTGGAGGTTTGCCTGATCTCGTGGTGTGGAACACCTCAGACAACAGCTACAAGGTGAGCCTGGCTGAAAAAAAACAAGATATTTTCCTTTAAGCGCTCTACGATCTTAATAAATGTTAACATCGTGTTGTTTGTAGCTGGTGGAGGTGAAGGGGCCCAACGATAGGTTGTCCCACAAGCAGCAGATCTGGCTGGACGAGCTGCAGAAACTGGGGGCTGATGTGGAGGTGTGTCATGTGACGGCTATCGGAGCCAGAGGAGGTTGTTTGGAGTAAAACCAGGGTCTGATGAGGGGGATTCGCTGCTAATTGAAACATGGATTAAAAATAATGTTTGTTTTCTATTTTGAAAGGCCTAGCTTACAGATAATTCAAGGTAATGTGTGACCAAAAAAAAAAAAAAAACCATAAACCTTTTTGAAACACAGTATCATCCACCGCTCATGTTTATTTGTGAGCCTTTAAACAGCATTAGCTTTGTTTCTTGCGCAATTAATTACAGTGTTAATTCTCTATAAAGGATTTTTATTCCCCATACCCGTTAAAGATCATCTGGCACCAAGAAAAAAACCGATGAGGCTGAAATTTTTATTGCCCGTCGCAGAAAAGCTGCATGGATGTTTTTGTCTGTGTCTGTTAACAAAATATCTCATGAATCACTGGATGAAAATATGCAAATATATAATTTTTGGAGCAAATCCAATTCAAGAAGGTAGCTACGGATAATGAACCTGAGCCAACACAAAAACCTTTAACTTAATCAGATTTACAGTTATAGAGACATCCCCATCACATATCCTGGCATCTCTTTTTTTTTTTTTTTGTCAAGGTTTGAACAAAATGGCTACAACTCCACCCTTTTTCATCACAAGATGATGTTCATCTTAAAATGCTGGCATGAAAGGCTGTGGACAGTTAATTTCAATAAACATTTTTTGCACTAGATACTGTTTTATACAGAGTTTTTGAACTGAATTTAATATGAAATGTAAAAGAATTATGTGGCAATCATAATATTAAAATATATCTTTGGTTTGATTTGCCTGTTTTATGTGTATCTTATTCTTTAGCTTTATTATAGGCTGTTTCCAAGATGAATATTGTGCTCTCAGGTAAAGACAATGCCATGCTTTGGTCTCGTGGCAAGCCCATTTATCATTTAATAGGTAAACAGGCAGATTTGATTCTTACTAGAAACAGTTCGGTTATCCAGAATATCATGCAACCTAATCAAAGTAAACATGTCAAATAACTCAAATCTCATTGTCCACAAACAAATGACATCACTTTTCATTACTGAGCTTTGAGCTTTCGCCTTTAGACATTCACCTGTATCTTATTCTATTCTAGAAACAATTTTGTGAATATCCAAAACTGATTTCCTTCTTAGAAAACAATCTTTTTGTATAACAATTGTATAGTTGTTAGACTTAATTTTAATCTTATATTTTCTAAAGGGCAAACTCTGATACAACTTTGAATATCCCAAATAGATGCTAAAACGTGTGTGAATGAGCTAAGTGTGGATTTACCCACTGAAATATGTTGAAGAAGCTGAATCCTATTCAAATGGAGCAAAATACCAGATTAATGCTAAAAGTAGTGAAAAGCTAGATAAATTATAAGAGGTAGCTAAATGCAGCAACACTAAAAAATTGGACAAAAGGCCATAAATATAGAATAAACAGTAGCTAAAAAGCAAAAGTTGCAATATGGAAGCTAATAGCCATAGATATATATCGATATAGATATTGCTGGAAGCTAATAGCTGCAAAAGTCTATCAGCAGAAACTGACTAAAGGCTAAAAGTAGCATAAGAAGACAAAATCTGAACATGCACAGATTTCATGAAAGCTAATATTCTGAAAAGTACGAAAGTTACAAAAACTTCAGTTTATAACCAGTGGCTGGCACAGTTCCCTTAAAGCACTAATATGGGAACTAATTTCCTGACTAGTGCTTTAGGGCTCTTGCTAATTTTAAAATTTTGTTAGTGGATTAGCACTTGCTAAATTTCGAAGCACTAACAGGTCTATAAATGTTACTGATCAACGTTCATGTTAACAGCTGATGGTGCAAGCTGTCACACATTTTATTCAAATGTGTGTCGAAGAATGTTCATGGGTTGACTTGGTTATTTTAGTGCTTTAGAATTAGCTTTTGCTAAAACTTTCAGTGCATTAGTGCTTTAGAATTAGGGGACCTAAATATTTGAGTTAGTGTTTCAGGGCTAGTGGAACTAATTTTTAGTTTAGTGCTGCCCACAACTGTTCTTAACACATATCTCCTGAGCGTTTTTAAAAGGATATAAACAGGAGTGTGGTTTTCATTATTTGTTATAACGACCTGCCATACTCTCGGATCACAGATACTTTCGTGGGAGGAGGCGGGGGGGGAAGGATTCCAGCTTTCCCCTGCGTCTGACGTCATGACGCAGGAGTCAGAGGAGGCGATGAGAGGAAGCTGCAACAAACACACAGGGCGTCTGCGCTTACCTAAATAGGACAATAAAGTGAAATCGGGATCAATGCTCTAACAATGGATTTGCCATGTATGCTTCCCCTTAAAGTTTTCCTCTTCGTGTATTTACTAAGCTGCACCCAAGGTGAGTGAGGCGTTTTGGGAGGAAGCCTTACGGCTTGTGTTATAAATCCGCGAATCAGTGGCTGAGACGGGAGCAGATCCCGATAGCCCGTCAGCTAACGGGAAAAGGATCAGCAGCAGGGCCTGCTTGTTATGAAGCGGACTGCACCCTTTTTACCGTCTTACTTCAAGCCAACAAAACACACGCGACGTGAAAGCTACCGAGGATTCACACAGTTAATCAGTACAAACCAGCAGTGAGGAGTTGTTTCCGTGTGTTGTCACCGCTTTTGTGGTCAGCTTTCGGGCCGGTTTTGTTATTGCCGAGCGAACAGCGCCGACAGCCATTGTTATGAGAAGATGGAGAAGCGGACCGTTAGCTCGGTGCTAGTTGCCCCAAACACTTTCTCCATAAAAAATAAATAAATAAACATTTACGTGGGCGGATATACTTTAACGATAAAGGTTTAAATTTAACGAGGTATTCCTGTTTTCTCTTATCAGTGCTGTTGACTCATGCTTGTCTGGTTATTCTTTATTTGAGAATTTATTAAGTATTTAGAAATAATTGCTTTATGAGACGAGATGCTGGCAACAAAAATGCCTTTAAAAACACAACGCAGATTTTATTCTCTTAATGAGACTAACTAAATCTTAACACCTTTATTTAAAAACGTATTAAGTGTTTACATTAAAATGGTATTTTTGTCAATTGTCAAAAAGGAGCACTCAAAATATATTTCAATCTGCATTTATATATAAATCAAGTTTTGTATTGATTGCATTAAATCACCAGTCCTTGCTTCCATCATCTCTTTCCGAGGCCAGTCAGATTAAGTCATTTTACTGCTATAGTCATGAGTTTCTTCACTTTTTGCACTCATCTCATTGAAAATTTAATGCTTTGCCCCTAAATATTGAATTCATTCAGCTTATGGACAGTAAAATAGTTTAAATCTGGTCTGCTGTCTCATCTCTGTTGCATATTTTTTACCTCCTTCAGTAAAATATGGAGGCTCAGGCATTTTTCTTTTTTATAAAAACACTACAGTTAGAGTTATTGTTATTGAGCCTTAATATTTCAGAATAAAATGTGTGAAATGTTCACATTAAAACAAAAATATTTGTTTCCCTGAACAACAAAATAAGTCAATTTACTTTTAAGTATTTCAAGGTATATTTTCGTGTGAAACATTGTGGTTGTAAACATACTTATGAACCTCATCCCTTCATATCTGCCTCCTACTCTAGCGGTGAAAGAATTATGTGAGCTGGCGTTCATTTGATCTGAATACTTCAGACTCAAAACGCTAAACATACACATTTGCTTTTTGTTTCATTTAATTCTACGTTTCAAGTATCAGACCAAACCATCTCGGTGTTTATTCTGGATTGCAGTTAAACTTTAAGCAGCCACAACATTATGGTAAACAAAGATCCGGTGCCCCGGCACAAACAGAGCAATATTGTATATGCTGTTAAGTGCCAGGAGGACTGCAACCAGTTAGTTATACATCGGGGAAACAAAGCAGCCACTGTTCAAAAGAATGTCCCAACACAGACGAGCTACATCTAATGGCCAGAACTCTGCAGTTTTCACTCATTTACAGGCCAGCGGTCACTCTTTCAGAGATGAGGATGTTCTCATTCTTGATAGAGAGGAACGTTGGTTTGAGAGAGGAGTAAAAGAAGCCATTTTTGTGAAGAAAGACCGTCCATCATTAAACAGAGGTGGAGGCCTCCGTTTTCAGTTGTCCCCCTCCTATAGTGCTGCTATTGCCAGTATCACTCCACCCCCTGTTAACAATAGGTGTTAATTAGGTGTCAACGATAGCCATGTGATGTGAGTATCAGTCACATGGGGGCAGGGCTTAAAAGCCTGAATTTTGCCTGAAACTCTCAGACTGAAGAAGTCTCTTGGAGAAGAGACGAAACGTTTCATTAGAGAAGAACCCGTCCAGAAGACCTATACAATTTTTTTTCTTTTTGATTATGGTAACACTTTATACACTTTTTATAGGTAATGATGTGCATGCTCTGTGTCTGCATTATACGATGCATTGTGGTCTAGATAGGTTCATGCCTACTTCAGGTTTCGTTGAGATACATTTAGTCTGAACAGTGTTCATATTTATGTTTTAGCTCTGCTCGTGTTTTGACAAATAGCATCACTGCACATTAAAGACATTTTTTAATCAGTAGCTGTGAATGTATTTGAGCATGTGGTGCTGGATTTTCCGCATGCGCTTTAGTAATTGCATAATGTCAATTGAGAATGTTCCTCATTGCCCAACAAAGCAGCTTTGACCAGTCAGGATGTAGACAAAGAACATCAGTGTTCTGGAAATTCAGAAAGAAATGTGATAATGACAGAATTCAGATTATCCCCAGGAGAAAATCGTTTTTTGTATAAATGATTTTAGTGTTAGACTGACGGGTGTACAACACTTTTACACATCCTGATTTGGCAAACACTCATGTTTTAATATTGGACAATTAAATCAAAAAGTTTGCTGATACTCAAACCTCAATGATAAACATTCAGCATACAATTTTGTTTTCAAATGTAAACCATAGTCCTTTGTTCAGACCAGTGATTCACCAACATTGACTCAAATCTATAAGAAATCCAGAGTCTATTTTATTGTATTGTGTCACTGAACTGCAACTGTTGGCAGACAACGTTGGTTGAGTCTTTAAATGTTCACGTTCAGGCTAGCAGTCGCCTCGCTGGAGTTTTAACAGGTTCAGAGTTATCTTGGGTGCCTTGAACCTCTTCTCAGTTTAGTTTTATAAATTCTAGAGCAACATAGCTGTATTCTGACACCTGTGAAGGAGCTTTCCTTTGACAGAAATATCTGAGAATACAGCCCCGATTGTACAGATAGAAAATCCTCACCTATGATAAATAATAACTAGAGAGTGTGCATTTCCTGCAAAAGTGCAGTATGAATGCTTAATGCTGAAAGATTTTGGCTGAATAGCTAAAAAGGATGAAAATACTCTAAACATAGCGTAAATTACATCACACTTGCTGAATTACACAGTAAGAAGATGAATTTTTAGCTGAGAAATCTCAAATTAGTTAAAACAAGAACAACTTAAATGAGCAGAAAGAGGCAGAAAATGCATAAAACAGCAGAAAAAGGCTAAAAGAAGCACACAAAAAAAATCAAGTACAGCAGAAACGGTCAAAATGATAGCTAAAAAGCTCAAACAAAATCAGCTGAATAGAAGTCAATTGAAGCTGAACTTAGTACGAAAAAGTTAAAAATGCAGAACCAGAACAAAAGATAAAAGTACAGTAAAGATTTAAAAATGATTTGAAAGGATTTTAGGTCGTTGAACACTTCATTTATTGTCAGTGAGAAAAATATGACAGAAACAGTTAAATATCTCAAAAAGTATATATTACTGAAATACCAAATATCATAGCTAGGGATGCACTGATATGAAAATTTCAGCCGATATCGATATCCGATATAATTATTGGTGTTATGGCCAATAACCGATATTTACTGATATTACACAAACATACAAATTATATTATACAGATACACAAAAACACACTTGGGTCTTTTTTGATACTGTAAATAAACAACCAGACCTCTTAAATGGCTCTACTTCTGTTATTCCTGGCTGCGCAGCATCAATATCACTATTATGATCAAACAGATGCTGCTCAACCAACCATCTCACCTCCCTAAACAGAAACGCAAAGCTAAAAAGTGTGAAATCAATATCGGACATTAATATTGGCCCTGTTTTACATATCGGACCGATACCGATATTCTAAAAAATGACCAATATCGGCCGATACCGATAGATCGTGCATCCCAAATCATAGCAGGGATGTCCTGAGAGAGCTGAATGTTTCGACAGATAAATTGTTGGAATAGCATAACAATTACGGAATGAGATGTGTGCCAAAAATGTATGGAATAAATATTATCTCACTAGTGTGAATGCTTTATAAACATTCACACAATTATTAGAAAGTGGTCCAGATGGGCTCATCCTCATTTCTAAAGTGTACTTCAGTGGATTAACTCATCATTTTGGGGCGGCTGCCACAGTGGGTACAAAGCGTACTGAGGTACAAAATAATGTGCACGCCTCAGAATCCCTGATGCTGCTTTGCAAACTATTTACACAAAAATGAAGCCTAATTTTTTTTTTTTACAAATTGATCACTTGGTTGCAAACTGAAAATCTGACTTCTTTCTCACAATTTTCTTGCAACTTTGAGTCACCAAGTACTTTTCCAACAGATTCAGCCCAGTAAAATGCCACTTTAAGGCTGGTTTTTACCAGAACTAAGATTTATTTTTCAGCTCTAAAGTCAACTTTGACTTGTGGTTTTCTTTTGGTTTGTGATGCCCTAACCAGTGTTTTGTGATATAATCTGTTGAACTTTGAACCAAAGAAAAGTGGGTTTTTGTTTTTCTCAGGAAACATAACCGTGTTCAGAATAAAGATGAGTAATAAAGGGTGAAATTGTTGGTTTGAGTAACTTACAGAAAAACACTGTCTTGGCACAAAATTTTACTTATTTTCCTATAAAGGTAACATGACAAATAGCAGATATAAGCTGAAAAATAACACTTTTGACAAAAAAAGAGTATCGGTCATAGGCTCTGTCATGATGTTCAATGACGTCAGGTGTTAAAATGATGTTTGAAAAGGTCTCATAAGTTCAACAAAGGCTTAGTTTGGTGAAGAAAGTGAGGAAGATAATTATAAGGTGAATGTGTTGTTGTCTGCTACTAAGACTTGAGTATAATTACTCACAAAGATTTTTGCCAAAATGGAAGAGAAGTTTCTACTGGTGATTGAAAAGAGTTATTACAGTATTGTTAGGCAGTTACACAAAACCAGCTGTGTGTCGGTGTTTTCATTATCGTTGTTTCTTCTCTAACCGTTTCCACCAGGACACTACAGGAATCCTCTGAACAAGTACATCCGACACTATGAAGGCCTGTCGTACGACACAGAACTTGTTCACAGCAAACATCAGCGAGCAAAGAGGGCGCTCTCTCACGAAGACAAGTTCCTCCACCTAGACTTTCATGCTCACGGAAGGTTGGTTTGCCCCCACCCTCAAAGCTTAAACCTAACATTGAGCTGCACTGATTTCTCTGCACCTTCATGCATCATTTTCTTTTTACAAACAATTGGCTTGTTTTTGTTTGCAGTTAAAAGTTCTGTAAAAACTAAATCTGCTAAATGATTACACCTCTTTGCATCTTGTTACTGTTCACTGGAACGATTTAAGTGTTTTACAACATAATTTGAAGTAAATCTGGATTTTATTAATGTGTCTTGATTTGTTCTTGTTTATTTTTGGGGTGCGGCATAATATAAACTAAATGATTTATCATTTGGTTAAACACAAGATAGAACACTTAGTGCATTTAGTCTTTTTATGTGATTTTTTTTTTATTAATCTGGGGGCTTCAGGTTATTAGTGGGAGAAAATGAGCAGCTTTGCTTCTATAATGGAGTTTTTTTAAACATAAGCAGATAAATTAATTGTAAAAATAAGTTATTTGCTTAGATGGATGGATAACTTCAGCTTGTCCTTATTTTGAAGAGGTGGTGTTTGTTAGGAAGTGTCTAAACGTCGTGACGAAGTCACCACCATCTGGCTTGAAATTTGGCAAAGTCTGCTTATCATCCTGCCTCAAACTGTGGTTCTACGTTATAAACAAGAGAGAAAAAGAGTCTTTTATTTGTTTTCCTCTTTTTTTAAAATCTTATCCAGATACTTGACTCAGATTGATTTGCAGCATTTATCTTTTCATGATTTAATAATCGCAGTGTTTTTTTTTTTAATAAGACCCATCATACTGATCTGGCTCTTTATCTGCAGTAACCAGAGTGAATGAAACGCAAGTTAACAGGTTCAAGGAAAAGTGAAGCCTTAACTGGAGGGGAAAACAGCTAAACTGTCTAAATAAGTGATGACCGTGTGTCAACATCACATCTTAAAAACATCTCGGCAGTGACTCTGCAGGTTTCTCAGATTCTCCTGGAAAATGGATCATCTGTCTCTCAGGATGCGTTTTTCTCTCGTTTGGTGTTTTGATGGTAGCGGTGGAGTCGGGTATGTCAGATTATTATGCCGGTGTGTATTCTCAGTCATGCAGGAGACGGTAATCCTAACAAATCAAACCGAAGGCTGCGGGACTTTTTTCTTTTGAATCTTGAAGGTAATTTGCTTCTCATCTGAGGCCGTTTCTCAATTCGAAAAAGATTTGAACACAGGAAACTGTTCCAATGAGAAGTTTTCAAAACTCTACAAAGAAAGTCAGATCATCTTCAGCTTTCATAAGAGCTCAGTAGAGCCAAGAACTGGTGAAGAAGACCTTCTCGTGCAATTCAACGTTTCAGCTCGAGCCTTTGGAAAAAGGAGTATTGTCAGCCGAAAAGATCCCGCTTTGACTCAAACATGCCAACAAAATGCCTCCCATTATATAAGAGCCACAGGATTCCATTATTCCAGAGGACAAACATGCAGTTTGTTCAGTAAATTCACATCTTTTTGGTCTCATGTATAATCAAGCTCTAATCAATTTAATTTTAATTTAACATGCATTATTTGGTTGGACATTAGAGCAGTTAAATAGCTCTGTTTGGATGTTGGCTTCAACAGAATTTTACATCCATCCTTTGTCTTTACCACTTTTCCTTCCCGGGTCGCGTTGAAAGACGGGGGACACCCTGGACAGATCACACATCCATCACAAGGACAGATAGAGACAACCAGTCGTACGCTCACTAGTCTTTAGGAGGAAAACAACAGCAGGAGAAAACCCACACGTACTCGGGGATATTTTTGGTTTGTTGCCAGATGTTTGATCAACAAAGTGCAGTGTAACGTTGTCAGGATATTAAATTTGTTTTAGCTTTTTGCTAAATTAAGGCAGCAGTTTCCTTCACTGCAACAAAATAAAGTTTAAGTGTTTTTTTTACGTAAGTACTTTTGCTTTGATTCTCCACACCGCCTGCTTTTTTAGTGTTTACATGTGCAAACTGTGATTCAGCCTTACAGGAGATGACTGATTCCACTGCCTGTTCAAAAGAAACAAGAAGATACAATCTGACCTGGAATTTGATGCAGTCCTTGTATCTTTATTTATGAATATCAAAAAATGTCTAAATTTGGATCGCAGCAATCTCTTCAAACAGTATTTCCTCAAAACAAGCAACCTTGTTTTTTTCATTCCTAGTTTCCAGGTTTGCCTGTCTTTTTTTTTTGTTTTGTTTTGTTTTTTTGACTGTTTGTGTTCGGCAACACCTTTTTGAAAAGGAGTTTTCTTGTCGCACAAGTATTGAATGCCTACAAAGTTTGTGCAGTCAGACAAATCTGTGCTGCATAAGAATTTTCTGGATCCTTGGAGACTTGTAGAGAAGATAAAATTTAGGTTACAGAAATCACTGTGGATGAGTTGAACCTAAGTACTGCTACTTGTAAAAAGTGAGGTCATACTTTATTCTACTGGTTTGTGCTGTGACAGAATAATATAAGACCTATGTTGTTTTTTTTTGTCATTTCAGGCATTTCAACTTAAGAATGAAAAGGGACACCCTGTTGTTTGCTCCAGATTTGAAGGTCGATGTTTCGGGAGAAGAAATCCCCTATGATACCTCTCATATCTACACCGGTGAAATCTACGGTGAGGCTGCGATTTAAATCGACTCGTTCTAATATCTCACCGAAGGACTCTTTGAAGCTGTTACAAAACCCAAGTCGTCCTCTGAAAATAAACTGCTCTGATTGGATTTTTCAGGTGAGAAAGGCACGCTGACTCACGGCTCCGTTATCGACGGTAAGTTTGAGGGCTTTATACAGAGCTACCATGGCACTTACTACGTGGAGCCAGCGGAGAGATACCTGGAAGACAAAGACGTGCCCTTCCACTCTGTGATATACCACGAGGACGACATCCGTAAGTCCGTAGCATCTGCCCCTACACGAACACTTTGTCAGGTTGTTGTCTCGTATCGTCCTGAGTGTGTAATTTGTTGCATTCCTATGTTAAATGCGTGACAAGAAAAGTGTAAGGTTTGGGGTCGCTGAGCTGATGGCAGGCTGGTGTGATTGCCCCGCCCCCCAGGGAGCAGAGATACCCGAGGTGCTCATTAGCTGAGTAATACAACCTTTTCCTCTCAGGCTGCAGGCTTATTTAAGCAGTCTACACCGTGTTGGCTCTAATCGTGAGCACCGAGTACACTTCACTACACCAGCACCCCGTAATTTGAAATCATCTGTGAACACACAGCAAGTAGCTGAGGGGCAAATTAAACAGGATTGTGAGAGGAAACACTAATGAACGCGGCAGCGAAGCAACAGCTCACGCAGCACAGCTAGGCGTATGAAGTGGTGTATAAGCACGTCTATTAGCTGATCGCGAATCACGCCCGGAATAGAATGACTCGGGGTTAAGTAGCTGACATCATCTCCATAATCCAAACACTGTTTGTGTCTGCCTCTGTCACTCAGACTATCCACACAAGTACGGCCCGGAGGGAGGCTGTGCCGATAGCTCCGTGTTTGAAAGGATGAACAAGTATCAAGCCTCTGCTGTGAAGGAGCCCACTAAGGTGAACTCACCACAACAAAAGCCACCGGGTTTTATCTAGATCTGAGAACATGTCAAATGATTTTATTGGGGTTAAAGATACTTATCGTGTCAGTCTCTGAGCTGGTTTCATGTCTGAAATATTACAGTAACATTTAAAGTGCCTGTGACATGCATATCCATGAAATACAAAAGTCAAAGAAAATACACTGCTCAAAAAAATAAAGGGAACACTTAAACAACGCACGCTAAGTCCAAGTAAATCAAACTTATGTGAAGCACATTCAACTCTGTACAGAACAAAGTACTCAATGCGAATATTTCATTGATTAAGATCGGGAGTTAGCGTGCGTTGTTTAAGTGTTCCCTTTATTTTTTTGAGCAGTGTATATTTATATTTAAGAAACTTGGCATAATACACATGATTTGACCCGTTACGTCACATAATTGGCATATTTTCTTTTGAATTTTGCTCAGTTAAAGTGAAACAGGAAGTGACATCAAAGGGGAACTCTTTGAGAAAGAAAACTCCCTGGTTTTTGTTTATTGAAACATTATTATTTGAACTATGACTCTTTCTCATCTCCATATAATAGTGATTAAAATAATCTAAAGAAACATCAGATTCTTCTCTACAGTCTGTTAGCCATTTTAGCAACGTTCTGTTTACATTCAGACATTCCCCCTTTGACATCACTTCCTGTTTCTTTACGTGTGAATATCTCAACAACTGTTCATCCCAGCGGCATGGAATCTTTTTTTTAAATATGTTATCAATGTTATCTTTCCAAAAATACATTCATATTTATTATAAAAATTTGATGTCACAGGCACTTTAAAACACGATTAATCCTTGTTGGCACATTATTAACTAGTCAAGCGTCCATGCAGCACATTGAGACGAATGAAGACAGTAAACACTTCACTATATTTATTTTTTAGTTGATTGTGATGTGGTAAATCAGGTGTAGTCTAACCCTAACTCCTGAAGTCCAGTTCATGAACACACTGCAGCCTAAAAATGTCGATCTAAAAATACCTCACATTATTTATTTACCTGCTGTTTGGGTGAAAATGTTATGTTTTATTTAACCATCTACGTTCAACGCTCCTCTCTCTCATGTGCCGCTCGAAACAGGAGCTCCACGCTGAGGCCGACTCCAGCGACCCGGTACTGCTGAGGAGGAAGAGGATGGCCCAGGCTGAGAAGAACACCTGCCAGCTTTTTATTCAGACGGACCACCTTTTCTTCAAATACTACAAGACCAGCGAAGCCGTCATCGCTCAGGTAAGGCACAGCCACTCAGGCCACGTTCACTTTACAGGTCTTGATGCTCAGTTCCATTATTTTCACTCAGATATAATTACCCTGCTGTTAAATCCATTTATATTATTATTATTGTTGTTGTTGTTGTTGTTGTTGTTGTTGTTGTTGTTGTGGTTATATTATTATAATTTATATTTTTGTTAGAATGTTTATTCATTTCATTTAAAAAAAACAAAACAAAACTCATTACATACAACTAAACAATACAAATCAAATAAAATGAAAGGTGGCAGAAGAAGAAAAAAAATCTTATATCTGCCCCTATTTTCAAAAAAACAATAATAATCAAATAACAAAACAAAAAAGTTCACTCCTAAAACAGTAACTCTTACAAATACAGACTAAACAATTTCATATTTCTTCAACAATTTCCCTTTCATCATTTTTTTAAACAAAGTGATTGATCCAATATTTTATAATCATTTTCCAGATCATTCCACAGTCTTATATCTTTGACTGAAGTGCATCTGTCCTTCAAATTTGTTCGGGTTTTTTATTTTTTATTTATTTTTTATTTATTTGATTTAACAAACATTTCTAGTCCCTTCAATTATCTGACATAATTGTTTTGTTTAATGTTTACATTTGATCTTCTTGCCTACTCAAGTGCAAAACTGAATCTGGATTTGGCGCAATATCCTGAAAGTAGAAACAAACTCAAGCACTGATCCCATCATGCTACTATCAGTACGAACCAACACTGGCATCGTACGCTGGTGTTTCAGTCCTCTATACAATCAAATAAAAAAAATATAAAGATGAAGAGTCTGGACTTTCTGTAGCTAAAGATGAGCTGAGTTCTGAGCTTTAAACTGCAGGACGGTGGTATCAGCAATATTAATATCTGCATAGATTCGTGTACTTTTACTTCGGTGAAATGAAAGATGAAACGTGACCAACCAGACTGCGCAGTCACTTTGAAAAATATCAGATATGTGTCCAATGTTCGTTAGAATTAAATAAGACCAGGGTTGGATTTGATAAAATAAAAAAAACATCCGAGTTATCACATTCAGACTGAAAAAAATAAAAAGATCTGATGTGATGGGTCACAAATGGACAAAAAACATTCAGATTTGGGTCAGTTGTGTCTGCAGTGTGAACATAGTTTTAATCAGATATGTCATTTTAACCAACAGTAAAGAACAATTTTACGTTAGTATAACCACATATAAGTTGGATTAATCCGTCACTTTTGTTCAGTACATGTGATGAGTGACGGGATTTTCAACAAAACAAGTAAAACTTTTAAATGTAAACTTTTATTCTCAAGATGAGCAACGAACAAATAAATTCAAACAAATTACATTTCACAGCAACATTAAGCAGATATAATGTAAATATAAATCCAGTATATATATTCAGATTAAATCTAGTTATCGTATTTATTGGGGTCAAATTCAGTTGTTTTTAGTAATTGTGTTTATAAATAGTTTTGCTGAGAAAGCCAACGAATTGGCTCGACTTTTAATTTAAACTCAAGAGTTCCTGTTCTCGTCCTGCACGGGGAGTCAGGTACCAGCAGAGGAGGAAGAACTTCCTTTTAATAGGAAGACACCTCCAGCAGAGCCAGACACGGGAAGGAAGGCCATCTGCCTCGGCCATCTGCGACGTGAGAGGACAGGAAAAGGACACAAATAAACAGAAAAGCACCAGGCCGGGCACTCCTGCTGTGACTAATATATTCAAAAAAACATTTCATCTTTAATGGCAGCTCAAAGATAGCAGCATTTATTAGCGCAAATAAATAGACAAACATGTTTGTTCTTGTATTTTCTGTGAGCTACGGGGCATATTATTAAAAATCTAGCACCACAACAGCAGCCTTGTAGTACAAAAAAATGTTGCATTTTGCCCACCCAAATGGTTTAACAATCAGTGGAGTAATTAAAACATCAACAACAACAAAAAAAACACTGATGATGAAGAAGCTAAGATACTAATATTCAGATATTTAGTACTGCTTTCTACTGAAGTGGTTAAAAAACAAACAAACAAAAAAAAAAACAATTCAGTCACCTAACACAATTTACCTTTAAATGTCACCAATAATTGTGGCAAAGTGAAGCTTTGGCTGTGGGAGGAGCCTGCAGCATCGTGCTGACAGTGGCACTGGATTCACAACACAAAACAGCGTAAACTGTTAACTTCGATTATTATGTTTTTATGATCGTTGAAAACCCAAATCATAATCAAGATCAAAATCCGATTAATCGCCCAGTCTCTAGCGTTCTTTACAGTAATATATTATGGGCCAAATTCTGTTTAAAATAAAATATGCAAAAAGATCCGTGTATGTTGCATTCTTTGTTTTTTTTTTTTTGTTTCAAAATAAAATGTGAAAAAATTTGAGTTTATCTTTTAATTATTCGTTTTAATATGTGACAACTGCAAAAATAAAAAAGTTTTTTTTTTTTTCATTATAATGGTTAAAGCAAAGTTGAGCTTGTTAGTGCATTAGTTGGATCCTTCTGACGGAACAACTCAGAGGGAGTCGATGCGTCTCATCGAGAGCTGATGATCTTATTGGGAATAAAATAGCTTTAATATTCCAGGTTATGCAGAATAGGGTTTGATTTCAGCCAATGCCAATATCTTTAATGGTTTTCGTTTTTAAGCAGTCTTTGAGCCACTATAAACTCTTCTTCTATGGCGACTTTTAAAACAACTATTAAAACAACAACCGTATATTTCCTTTTGGATTTAAGTAGCTGCAGCAAAAATAAAAGACTGTATTTTTAATTTGTTTGAGTTTGCATTTTTATATTTAGACAGTGTTTTCAACAATACAGCATTGTTTTATAGTTTGTCACCAGGCTGTTTGAGTTTAAGCTCTGAAACCTGAACAGAGGTTTTACACTTTTAGATCTCCAGTCACGTCAAGGCCATCGACGCCATCTATCAAGGCACGGACTTTATGGGAATTCGTAACATCAGCTTCATGGTGAAAAGAATCAGGGTGAGCATTTTTCCCCGACAAGATGGGTTTTAAGTTCACCTCGCAGTTGTAGTCGTCCTTCTGAACTCTCGGCCCTGCTGTAGATAAACACCACCTCTGACGAGAGGGAACGGTCCAACCCGTTCCGCTTCGCCAACATCGGCGTGGAGAAGTTCCTGGAGCTGAACTCGGAGCAGAACCACGACGACTACTGCCTGGCTTATGTTTTCACAGACAGAGATTTTGATGACGGGGTGTTGGGACTGGCCTGGGTGGGAGCCCCCTCAGGTAAGAGTCTGCTTTAGTCAAACTCTAGTTTGTTTGCCTAAAAAGTCTGGTTCTTTTGGGGAGGTATGAATATGTTATTGAAATCTGATGAGGACCAAACTGGTCCGCATAAAAACGCATTTGCCAAAAACTGAAAATGTAACAAATGTTGCAATTTTGGTCCCCAGTCGAACCGAGTCTACGGGGCTATCAGGTGTGAATACGACCTAAGTCAAGCATTCAGGACTGAATGTGTGGAAATAAATGGATTTCAGCTCTAACGGTTGTTCCTGTCTGTGTTCTCCTGCTCAGGGAGCTCTGGAGGAATCTGTGAAAAGAGCAAGCTGTACTCCGATGGAAAGAGGAAGTCTCTCAACACGGGTATAATAACTGTACAGAATTATGCCTCCCACGTACCTCCAAAAGTCTCTCACATCACCTTTGCACATGAAGTAGGACACAACTTCGGCTCCCCGGTAAGCTACTTGGATGTGGCACGCTTCCGTGCGATTAAAAAGAACTCACGACTGCTCGACTTTTATCTCTCCTATTTCTAACCTTCTGAATTTTTCTTTGACCTTCCTCCTCGCTGGAAGCATGACTCTGGATCTGAGTGCACCCCTGGAGAATCCAAAAGTCAAGACAAGAAGGAGAAGGGCAATTATATCATGTATGCCAGAGCCACATCAGGAGACAAACTCAACAACAACAAGTTCTCCTTTTGTAGCATTCGCAACATCAGCCAGGTGCTGGAGAAGAAGAGAGGCAACTGTTTTGTTGGTATGAGCTCTTTTTTCTTTATTATTATTTTTTTCCCTTTTCCTTGTAAACTCCCAAGAGGATTATAAAAGAAATCATGTTTATTGTCCCCTGCTGAAAGGCATAGGCAGACCAAATATTCTGTTCTAATATGGTGGAACGCCATTTTTGTATTAAGTTTAGGACTAAAGTATGGCTTGAGTTTAGGCTGGAACTGGTTATGTACTGGAGGTGGTTGGGTTTAGTTTAAGGGTCAGGGTAATGCTACAGAAATGACTGGAAGTCAATACAAGGTCCTAATAAGGATAGAAATACAAATATGTGTGTTTGTTGATAAAATATCTCATAAACTGCTGAATGAATTTTAACGAAGCTTGCAAAAAGTACATCTTGAACCAATTAACTCTTTTGGTGTTAGCATGACTCAAGATGCCTGCCAGAGGCAACTGAACTTCAGAAACACAGAAATGTTGGTAGCTCTTGTTAATTTTACAGATACTGACCTAAAATTTGATGTGGGTGAAGCTGAGACTGATCTCTAACACACTCCTGTCAACAGCAGCGAGCTGAATGTGACGTCACGTCATCTCCTGCGCTAGCCTGTCGCTTTGACGGCATGAAGCCTTTCAGAGTCTAATGGAGGTCGCATTTATTTCAGGGTTCCCACGGGTCCTTGAAATCCTTGAAAGTATGTTCATTTGAAAAAATGATTTCAAGGCCCTGGAAAGTTTGTGAAAACAGCCAAAAATTACACTTGACCTTGAAAGTCCTTGAATTCTTTTGTGGGGATTGAAGTTCTCTGTTCACTCAACTGATTTTCATCCTCCGGAAAAAAAAAACAAAAACAAAAAAACTTAAATTTGTTGCGGTGGATAACAGGTTTTCAACAAATAACGTGAGCCATGTCATAGTTTTACCCAATCAGAGCAGAGTAGGGCGAGTCTTTCTTTCTGAGCCCAGGTGAAAGCATCACAGCTCCTCCTGTCCTCACCGAGGGTCTGGACATGTTCACATCCCCTCCTCCCAAACTGAGCTGCTGAACCTCCCAGGACATAATTACATGTCCGTGTGTTGTGGATATGAATGTAGGGTGTACATTTAATCCACTTTCTTTCATTGATTCTGACTCAACAACTTCTATGTTGTTTAGTTTTTCATTGAATTTACATGATATTAAACCTGTTTATTGGTAACATTCTGTGGTAGCAGTAGGTAATTGCCGTCGCATGTAGTTCTTGAATTTGAGGAAATTGGTACTGGAAAGTCCTTGAAAGGTCCTTGAATTTGATGTCGACCAAGGTGTGGGAACCCTGTTTGTTTATATATTTATTTATTTATTTATTCATTCGTTTCTTTAAAAAACAACACAAATTCAACATACAACAACAACACAAATCATAAATTAAATGAAAGGTAGCAGAAGAAGAAAAAAAATGTTATATCGGCCCCTTTTTCTCAAATAAAGAAAGTCAATCAAAAATAATCTTTAGTTTACAAAAAAAAAGAAGAAAAATAACAAAGGTTTCACTCCTTGAACAACAATTCATACATTTACATATTTCTCCAGCAAATTATTCTTTATCATTTTCTTAAATGTACTCATTGATCTGGCATTTTTAATGTCATCTTCCAGATTATTCCATAATCTTATATCCTGGACTGAAGTACTCCGGTCTTTTAAACTGGTTCTAAATTTAGGTTAAACATCCCTGGATGTTTAAACAAAATTTGGGTGGGAAAGGTGAAGGTGATTTAGGTTAAACTATCCCTGGAGATTATAACAACTGTCTCTTTTAACAAAGTCTAATTGGATGTTTGAAGGTAATGTGTTTTTATGAGCCCTATACATAACTGATAAAATACCATAATTAATAGGGCTGTGTATTGGCAAGAATTTGGCGATACGATACATATCATGACAGAGGGGTCACGATACGATATATCCCGATATATTGCAATACTGTAAGCAAGGCGATGTTTTGTGATTTTTTTGTCCAAAAATTCTATTAAATAAAAACCTCTTAAAGGGGAAAAAAATGAAAAACCAAAATTCATCGTCTCAGAAAATTCTAATATTACAGAGACATACTTTTGATACATTTAGCTGTGTTCTGCTTTGTATGTATTTTATTTTATTTGTTTCATATTTCTTATTTCATCCATGTTTTCAATTATTAGACTAAATTTGACAATAAATAGTTTCAAAATATATTTTTTGCAGCTTTTAGTTTTTAATATTAATTTACAATATGGTCACCCAACACTTAACTATAGCCACTAACTCAAGAGGTAGAGGAGCCAAATGGCTGGTTTACTGCTGCCAACTAGTGGTCAGAGGCTGAACTACAACATAAAAATGAACGACTGGCAGGAAAGTTGACATTTTAAACCTTAATAAAAAAATCAATACAGGGATTTGGAATATCGATACAGTATCGGGAAATGAAATATCGCGATATTTCAGTGTATCGATATTTTCTTACACCCCTAATAATTAACCAAATCATAGAATTTCAATAAATTTAACTGATGGAACAATGAATTTGATGGGTGATAATAATGCTTCCTGGTGATAATTCTTACAGCTGAATGTCCACGCAAAAACAAAATTGTATTGGTTCCCAGTATCAGGACATTCTGAACGAGTACGAATACTAGTAAAAATGCTGGTATCTGAACCGATGCCAGTATGAATATTTGTACACCACTACTCTGAAGGTCTTTTGAGATCTAGAGGTGGAGCAGAGGTTAGAGAAGACGAGCTGAGAAGTCCTTGATTCAAATCCCCCGAACGTTTCAACAAAATTTGGGTGGGAAAGGTGAAGCACCCACTCATGCCTCCCCTCCATCATCTGCTCCACTCTGGGCCTCTAACCCATCTGATCCTAGACGGCAGCCAGCGTTTGATTTCTTTTTTCACTCTGTAGTTTTGTGAACGCAGAGTTTTTCTTTTTCTCCTGTCCTTCAGAGTCCGGTCAGCCCATCTGTGGTAACGGACTGGTGGAACCTGGAGAGGAGTGTGACTGCGGCTACAGTGATCAGTGCAAAGACCAGTGCTGCTACGACGCCAACCAGCCTGATAACAAGAAGTGTAAATTAAAGCCCAACAAAGTCTGCAGGTAGAGTTTCTGTTTTCCTTTGGGACAAATTGAGTGTTGCACACGAGACAAACCGTGACTCTACACTTGTCATCCCGCCATCAGCCCCAGTCAGGGTCCTTGTTGTACCCGTGACTGCGTTTACAAGGGTCGTAACGAGAAGTGCAGGGAGGAGTCGGAGTGCGCTCACCAGGGCATGTGTAATGGCGTCAGCGCCCAGTGCCCCACATCTGAGCCCAAGGCCAACTTCACCGCCTGCCACGGAGAAACTCAAGTCTGTCTGAACGGGGTGAGTGAGCCGAGCCGCCGCACCTGAGCGCGCCGCTCGTTACGGCAGCTCGATTTTCATCCCAGCCTGTCCTTGTTGCTCCTCCCCCCCGCAGGGCTGCTCCGGCTCCATCTGTGAGAAGTACGGGCTGGAAGCGTGCACGTGTGCCAGCCAAGATGGCAAGGATGAGACGGAGCTCTGCCACGTTTGCTGCATGGAGAAGAGTGAGTCATCTGCCTTAGCTCAACTTGATTCGTTTTTTTTTTCTCTCATTGTGTTTGACTGCCTGCCTCTGTCTCCACAGTGAACCCCAACACGTGCAGCAGCACGGGGTCAGAGCGCCTGACCCGTTTCTTCAACAAGAAAGTGACCACGCTACCAGCCGGCTCGCCGTGCAACGACTTCAAGGGCTACTGCGACGTGTTCATGAAGTGCCGACTGGTGGACGCAGACGGGCCTCTCGCCAGGCTAAAGAAAGCTATTTTTAACCCAGAGCTGTACGAGAACATCGCCGAGTGGATTGTGGTACGTGTTCCTGCTCTGATTGTGACCACACTGTAAGGCAGAAGCTGTTTTTTGAATCGATCTTGATTGATTGCTTTGCTTGGTGCTTCCAGGCTCATTGGTGGGCCGTGCTGCTGATGGGCATCGCCCTCATCATGCTCATGGCTGGTTTTATTAAGATCTGCAGTGTCCACACACCAAGCAGTAATCCTAAACTTCCCCCTCCCAAACCACTTCCAGGTGAGTGCATCCATGCACAAAAAAACAAAACAAAATAAAACAAACAAAAAAACCCACTATGTTCTTTTTGTAGTTTATCTTGTATTTAGAACCATACTGTGACTGAACTGCTCTGTGATTCAATAAATGATCAAATATAAGAATACAAAGTATTAAATGTGTACATGAGCTCTCTAAATAATATCTTTTTGAATAAAAAAAGTTATTTTAATAGATAAATCAGTCAGTTTAACCAATGAAAACGTAGTTATTTTGTGAAGAACAAAATACATATTTGATATATTTTTTTAAATATAAAGTTATAGTACATACATATACAATGTGTTTGCACTGAAAAGTTATGGAGATGGTTAAATATTTGTATGACTGTATCTGACTCAAGTCTTGCCAGAAATGATTTTTTATTAAATATATTAAAATCACTAAAATGACAAATATAAACTACAGAAAAGCTGTTCAAAATCAAACTACAAATCCCTTTGGTCCAAATGGTTCAGGTTAAATTTTTTGTATAATGCTTCTTTAGAGGATACTAAACTGTATACTTTGACTAAGAACATGGACACAATGTAATGTTATGACTAAACTATACCGTGGACTTGTGGGTGGGGGTGGTAAGAGTTATCGTGTATTTATGGTTATCGAGGTAAACTGGTCAAAATATTGTGATATTGATGTTAGGCCATATCGCCCAGCTCTATTAGGAACCCAGACCTCAGCCCACTGTCCTGCATGTTTGATGTTGTCCTGCTTCAGAATGCCTAATTTAAATGACCTTGAAGACATGGTGACGAAGTTGTTCAATCATTTCAATCAAGGGAAGGGTTGTGGGACCTGAGGATTAGAGTTGGAGACCACTCTGGTACCAGGCCTTTTCAGGTTAAAGGGATTTATCATTGTTCAACTATAGCATTTATAGCACTGAATAAACTTGGTGTGTCATTGTAAGTAAGTTAGTAACTGCATTCAGTTTCTATAGTACCTTTCACTGATAGACATCACAGAGTGCTTTACAAGGAGCAAGACTAAAGTAAATACAAACATACTGTCCAATATAAGCATAAAATCATACAATAAAATAAGTTACCCTCTCACTGTATGTCCCCAGCCTTCTGTCACTTTGTGTCTGACCAAAAATCATCGAGCTGCAGCTCTGGTTTTTCTTACAGAAGCAGCTTAATGTCAAATGAAGGAACTTTTTGAGGCAAACTAACTTATTTCATTGAGAAGAAAAGCTTCTCAAGTATGACGACAGTTTTCTGAGCGCACGGCAGTGAGCTGCGCACGTGAATTTAGTTTACATATAAACAGTCAAAATTAAAGAACAGCTGCTGTGTGTTATGATTTCTAAGACAATAAAACACTTTGAACAGACTGCGTCTGCTCGTTAGCATTCAGTTTTATGAAGGCAACGTTTCAGTTTTGGTGTCTGACTTGATGACAAAGTATTTAAATGAAAATTACTTTGTTTTGTGAAGAAATTTCTTTAAAAACACACAAAACAGCACTAATAAGAAAACAGAAGATGCTCATTATTTCAGTTTGTTTAACAATGAAATGATGTACACTCACCGGCCACTTTATTAGGTACACCACGCTAGTAACGGGTTGGACCCCCTTTTGCCTTCAGAACTGCCTCARTTCTTCGTGGCATAGATTCAACAAGGTGCTGGAAGCATTCCTCAGAGATTTTGGTCCATATTGACATGATGGCATCACACAGTTGCCGCAGATTTGTCGGCTGCACATCCATGATGCGAATCTCCCGTTCCACCACATCCCAAAGATGCTCTATTGGATTGAGATCTGGTGACTGTGGAGGCCATTTGAGTACAGTGAACTCATTGTCATGTTCAAGAAACCAGTCTGAGATGATTCCAGCTTTATGACATGGCGCATTATCCTGCTGAAAGTAGCCATCAAATGTTGGGTACATTGTGGTCATAAAGGGATGGACATGGTCAGCAACAATACTCAGGTAGGCTGTGGCGTTGCAACAATGCTCAATTGGTACCAAGGGGCCCAAAGAGTGCCAAGAAAAGATTCCCCACACCATGACACCACCACCACCAGCCTGAACCGTTGATACAAGGCAGGATGGATCCATGCTTTCATGTTGTTGACGCCAAATTCTGACCCTACCATCCGAATGTCGCAGCAGAAATCGAGACTCATCAGACCAGGCAACGTTTTTCCAATCTTCTCTTGTCCAATTTCGATGAGCTTGTGCAAATTGTAGCCTCAGTTTCCTGTTCTTAGCTGAAAGGAGTGGCACCCGGTGTGGTCTTCTGCTGCTGAAGCCCATCTGCCTCAAAGTTCGACGTACTGTGCGTTCAGAGATGCTCTGCTGCCTACCTTGGTTGTAACGGGTGGTTATTTGAGTCACTGTTGCCTTTCTATCAGCTCGAACCAGTCTGCCCATTCTYCTCTGACCTCTGGCATCAACAAGGCATTTCCGCCCACAGGACTGCCGCTCACTGGATGTTTTTTCTTTTTCGGACCATTCTCTGTAAACCCTAGAGATGGTTGTGCGTGAAAATCCCAGTAGATCAGCAGTTTCTGAAATACTCAGACCAGCCCTTCTGGCACCAACAACCATGCCACGTTCAAAGGCACTCAAATCACCTTTCTTCCCCATACTGATGCTCGGTTTGAACTGCAGGAGATTGTCTTGACCATGTCTACATGCCTAAATGCACTGAGTTGCGGCCATGTGATTGGCTGATTAGAAATTAAGTGTTAACGAGCAGTTGGACAGGTGTACCTAATAAAGTGGCCGGTGAGTGTATATAGAACGGTGTGGAACATTTTCACCACATGACATTATGGTGAACCTCAAAGGGCCAGTTGTATATCTTTAACTAAATTTGAAACCCTGTGTTCCTCGTCTCGTTGCTACAGTTAAACACCGCTAACCAACAGCTCTACCTGGTATTTCCTGCACAGAAACAGAGTTTTAACACGTCCTCTTATCAACACTGAAAAGTACTACGTGTACTCCCGAGTAAATGGCAAATAAATAATACAGAAATATTCTTAAAAGTAACCGTTTTACTCACTGTTGACTTGTGGTGAATAGACGCCATCTTGAATTCTGAACCCTGCAGGGAACGTTCTATTTTAAATCTACGACTTGTAGGTGGGAAATTCCTGTTTCTCACTTAAAACAGGGCCGCAGCAAAAGCAGCCGGCAAAAGAAATGGAGATTTTATTCAACTGTCAGTGACATTTAAACCCTGTGGTGGGATGCTGTGATTTTTCAGATAAAATTAAGGACATACATTATGGGAGGTGTAGTTTATGGTCAATGCTGGCTTTGAAGCAGCTTATACATCTTTGAATCTCTCAGGGACCACATAAAATACTGTGGCAGGCCACATTTGGCCCACAGGCCTTGAGAGTTTGACACATTTGCCATAGAAAAAAACTGGTCCTATGTTGTGTGTAGTTTAGTTTTCATTAGAGAGACATAATCGAGACACTTTGACAGCGTTTTCAAGCATGTGACTGATACTCTACAGCTTCTGTAAAAACTGATTTTCATTTTCAAACCAGTCTCTTACAGTTACTGGGAGTAAAAAAAAACTCTCAGCCAGAATATTTTATTTTTTTCCTCACGGCAGGCACTTTGAAGAGGCGACGAGCGCAGCAGCACGCCAGCTCCCAGGTGCAGCACCAGTCGCAGCACCCGCACCCCCACAGCGGACACGGCGGCCAGCGGCAAGCCCGGGGCCAGCCGGCGCAGCGGCAGGCGCAGCCCCAGAGGCACCACCGTCAGCCCAGAGAGAACTATCAGATGGGCCAGATGAGACGCTGAGACCTTGCCCTCGCTCCTGCCCCCGCCCTTCCTCCTCCTCCTCCGCCCGCCCCTCCCCCCAATGCCTTGGCTCCTCCTCGTGCCTACAGTGGGAAACAAAAGCGTCACTCCATCCAAAGAAAAGCCTGACACGGTTGTTAGTCGTCGTGGTCGGATCCTCCACCTACGGACAAAAAACGGGACGAAGAGCGAACACTGTCTAGCAACTCGATTGGCTCTTTGCGGAGTGGACTTGGACCATCAGCCATTTCCAATGCAGTGTGATCAAGCATCGTTTTTTTTTTCTCTTTTATTTTATTAAATTTTTTTCTTTAAAAGTGTGCCAAGGAGTGAAGGAATCGTGCAGCTTTTGTCCCTTCTGTGATGTTTTTGGTTCTGTTGCGACATCATCTCTGAGTGATTAACCAGTGGCTGCTGGTGAGTTGTTTTGTGCTCTACTTTCTGTTTTTTTTAAACATTTTCTGGTTTTGTCCCCACCCCCCACCCCAAACCCCCTTGTCATCTTAAGCCAGGAACGAGAGACTCGATGAGGATTTGTGGCACTTTTTTTTGTGACGTACACATGTGAAAACGGCAAACAGACGCAGGCTCCGGTTCTCCCGTGCAGACAAGTCTTCTGCATGTGACTGTAAATATTTAGTGTATTATAAGTGAAAACAAACTATTTCTTCTACTGTAAATGTGTAATTCCTCACTATTTTCTTTTCTTTTTGTTTTGTTTTGTTTCTTCTTCTTTTGGTTAGTGCTCTCAGGATTTATAACATAAATGAAGGAGTGGATGGCTGTCAGAGTTCTTGCTGTTGCAGATTCAACACTTTTCAGTTCTCTTTACTGTCCTGTCAGACACATTTCATTCACTAATATTAGACGGCAAGAATTGAATTGTCAACCTCAAGGCCATCATATCCAACGTTTCTAGGCCTCCTCTCTGTTCAAGGTTCCTTTTTTTTGTCTTTTTAACGTTTTGCTAACGTGTGAGATGACTTCGGAACAAAAAGGAAAAAAATCGAGAACATCCCATTTGTGGCGCGACATTTACTGCGATTTATTGAAAAGTGAGCAAGCACTAACGGAAGCTGAGCGGAGGTGACGGCTGCTGGGGATTATTAGTGTCAAAGTGAAACGTTTGTCATGTTGTCGAGTTAGTGCAAATAAATCTTTTAAAAACGGCGAACAAAAAAACGTCATTTTTATGCTTCTGATGGCGAATTTAGGAGGTTTTAAGCGTGGGCGTGCAGACAGGTTTTCTTGAATTATCTGAGGAAGGTTTGTAATATTTCTCGTTCTCTCAGTACTTCGACAGCTGATGCTGTTCATTTTCCAGCAGCAGAACAAAGGGATGTCATGCAGCAGTATTCATTCACAGCTGCTGTTTAACTACTTCAAAACAGTAAAATCCTGCAACCATCAAGGATACAGGGGTGGAAATCACCGGTTTTATCACAATATGTTGATTTGTTTGGACCACGATACGATTTTAATTCAATTCACATGTCTGTGATTGATGTACGATATATACCCATCTAACAATTAGTAAATAATTAGATGGGCATATGATATGGATTGATGTTTTCATTTTTGCCTTGATGTGATTAAATCATTAATCATTTAACTGATTGATCAATGTGTTGTTACACCGCTAAAAGGATCTGAATCCCCCTGAAGAGCTCACGAGTTCAAGATGTTTACATAAAAATAACCTGGAGCCACTTTAAAGTGAACAAACAAAAGATTTAATGTTTTTTTTAGGGCATTTTTTTTCTTCTTATTATTATTTTTGTTGTTTTGTTTTCGTTTTGGGTGTGACCTCAGGTGTTTCCTTTACAGCAGCAAAAAAGGGAAAAACCACAACCTAACGTTCTATTTATGGTGACGCATTCATGACAATAAGGTGCAGAATACTGTGACATCTCACCCCCTCCATCCCCCCCAAAGCCCTCCCACCTGAATGCCTCTGCTTGAGGAGCGGGGGAGAAAAAAACGAAGCACAAGCAACACTAATTTATGGCATTCTACGTTCCGCAAACAGGTTTTCTGTGCTCTGACTTTATTTAATCCTAGCACTATTACTTTTAAATGCATGCAACTCTAATCACAACTAATATCTTGTAACACAGGTCGTCTGAAACAAACACACAAACACACAAACACTCACATGCTCTCCACAGGGGATGTT